TTATTAATTATAAAGTGTTCAGCTCAATAATTAAGCTTTTTGCCATTTCATAAAGCAAAAAGATTAATTTTGAGGTTAAAGATGAATTTTATTAAAAAAACTGTATTTACTAATAACAAGTAAAATCTTCATTAAGTCAAATCCCTAACCACTCAAGATATGACAAGTAATCCCCTCTATCTTCACACTTCCTTAACCTTTAACCATCAAAATTTAATAGCATCATCCTCTAATACACAAACCTCCCTGCAACATTTCAGAAATTTTTGACAAAATGCACAGGAGTTATTAATCTTCAAAGTGGGTAACAAAATAGTGTCACACAAACATTCATACACAAAAAAAATCCTAAATTTTTTTGCATTTCTTGATATTTCAAGGTCCCAAATCCAAAAATGTAAAAACTCTTGGGATAATTTTTTTACTGATGATGATACTTTCTCTCTCTTATATTTATAACAGCTGAAAAAGTAAAAAATTAGTTTACATATGCATTTTCAAATTCTTAAAATCAAAAACTGTACAAGTAAAATTCTAGTTAAATTATTCTGCTCCATTCTCTGTATTAATTTCTATAAATTTTTAACAAAACATTTGCATGTTCAAATTGAGATGATAAAATTCATAAAGATAAAATTAAAACTGATATAAGATGAATATTTTCAAATCTGGGAGAAAAAATCCATAGGTTTTATTCTAATACAATAATTAGTATTAGAATTCATTTAAATTCATATATATCTGAAAAGTTTTAGTTTTAATAAGCAGACATCTGTAGAATGCTTGCTCAAAATGCAAGGGATACAGTTTCAAATATTACTACGTTCTTTTATAGACATTTAATAATTGAATTAATTTAATTTTATAAAATTACTAATAGATAATGATTTTATTTATCTAAAAAATCAAATTTGTCTCATCATTAATAATTTTACTAGCTTAAGTTAATTAATAAAAAAAACTATGTAATTTAGTACTTTCAGCATTAACCATTCAATTTACTATCAGATTTATTTATAATCAGGTGTTTACCATATACATGAAGTTTTGAACCACCACTAACTTCACTGACCATACAGTCAGCATATTTTTGATGTCCTGTAGTTTAATTGTTTCAGTGAATGCAGATGCTTTGTATATGGGTTTATGTATGGCCCATGATCATATATATCCAAGTCATTGTCTACTGAACACCTTAGAATAGTATAGTCAAACTTTGTCTTTGTTCAACTGCTTTCAATCAACAATATATATAATCACTAACTTTTAACCTACAAACATTTTTAAAATGAATGTATGTATGTGTGTGTGTATATATATTAATTGAAATAATCATATAAATTCATATAACAAAAAATATGAGTTTTAGAGATGATCTATATACTGAATAAATGTGAAAATGAACTCATGCCTATGGAGATAGCATTATCATCATTCAAAATGAATAAAAACAGATTTACGTGATAAATCAATAATAAAATATTTTGTGCTTGATAATTATTACTACAATTAAAAATTTGTTATGGAATTATAATCTAACTTAGAAACTAAGCATATTTAAATAATTTATACTGATTAGAATAAGAAAAAAAAAATCTAACAAAAACAGAATTTTAATAGAGTTCATACTACTGAAAAAATATCATGAACGAATTCAGTATTTAATACATATAAATAAAACATGTTCAAGAAACTTTTCTTATGTAATGTAATATCATTACTAAATTTACTACCTTCAAAAAATACATAATTTATGCTCTTAAATACTTGTTATATAATTTTTGAAATATTTTTTAAATTCAACTTCCCAAAAAAAAAGGAAATATACTTTCAAAACATCACAGATTTTCTTTAGAGATGTTTTAGAAATCTTTTAAAAGTTTCGTATAAATATTTCTATTTTACTTTTATAATATATCAAATAATTATTATTAAAATTTTAGCATAAGATAAATGTTAAGTTTAGAAAATAATTTGCTTACAAGCTCAGGAGTTTGAATTAAGTTACATGTTAGAATATTATATCAATTAATAACTATAAATGATAAATATAAATATATTAGAAAATTCAAGAAAACAGGAAGTGAAATCATTGCTTACAGCAATTGCAAATAATCAAGCAGTAAGCACATGAAAAAGTAAAAGCATGACAAAGGATAAACTGTAACAATGGTTTAGTTAATCACATTGAAAAAATGATTAATGAGCCAGAATCTGTATAAACTTTTTTCTTCAAAACATGGTACATATTTAACATCATCATCCTTGAAGTTTTTAAATTACACATTTTTTTTCAAAAGAGGGCTATGAAAATTTTTAACCTTATCAAAACTTTCATACATTTTTTTTTTTTTGAATGAATGAACTAAGTAAAACTTTTATGTGAGATGAAACTTCTTTAAATATCTATCTAACTTTACATTTAAATAGTGTTATTATCCTTTATGCTGATTTTGTAATCAGCAAATTTATGGTTAATTATATTTAGTAATCATACATTTTTCTCATCTCAATTGAATTAATGAATATATTCTGAAATATATAATAAAAAATTCTGATAACAGATGAAAGTAAACTGAGAAAACATTCACATATTTCATTTTTTAATCAAATTTTTTGACAAAATTGTTGAAAAAACAATTATCATCAATTCATTTATCATCTGTTATATTTTTTATATGTTATTTAACGTATTAACAAAGCTGTTTTCGTTAAAGAGAGATTGTTCCTTTCAATTTATAACTTTTCTTGACGTTGTATATATATATAATTTTTTTTTACACGTAAATCCATTCGAATTGACAGATGCAAATAGTGTATTTATTATATAGTAAAAACAATTCTAATATTGATAATAGTGTGTTTTTTTTTATATAATAAAATTCTTACAAATTGTTTCTTTGAATCATCAGACGTTCCTTCTTGTCCATCATCTTCGTCAGCTTCTTTGTTGTTGTTGGGTGGAGTAGTGTCATCATCATCGCTTAATTTTTCGCGTTTAAAATCATCTAAATCATCATCATCGTCGTCATCGTCCACTTTTCTCTTCTTTGGTGGCATGTTTTAAATATAAATCAAACTACGAACGTTTGGAAATTAAACTAAACCATCCACTTATGGGCCTATTTCAAAGATGTCTACCTTCTTCATCAACCCAAATTATGACCGAAAGCAGCCGACGATCGACGCTGGTTGAGCGCGAGACGTAATCTCGCGAGATTTTTCAAACAAAAGATATCCATTCGTCTGTCTGTGACTGTGTCTGTGCGCGCACGGGACATATGACGTAATAATGGGGGAAGAGAATTATTGGTTCTCGAATTATTCGACGCTTACCTCGTGTAAGATGATGTGTTCGTCTTTTGACTGAAAAGCGAATTGCAACGGAATCTTTTGAATTTTTTTTTTTTTTTTGAATTTTTTTTGTTAAAGTAATTTGAGGCATTTTCATCGATTCGAGACTAATTTATAAATTTTATTGGAAAATCAATTTAAAATTTTTATGTCCTAATTAAATTGATCTTTATACTTGAATTTAATTTGTTTTTTTTAATTCTGAAATGATTTCAAATGTTTTATTTTTATACGAATTTAATTTATTCTTTTATTTATTTATTTCTTTTTGTAAGTACGATACTTTAAAAGATCGATGCAATAAAATGTAGGAGATTTTTATGATACACACAATCAAAAAATAACGGTAAACGTTATTGATTTCTTGAATTATTCGCTGCTGCTTCGCGTCACGTTCCGTGTTTTTTTTTTTTTTTGTTGTTTTTCTTTTGTTTTTAAATAGAATAAATCGGTATGTGATATATTTTTTCTTAGTTTTAACCTAAAATTTAAGTCTGCAATTAGTTTTTCCCAGAAATACAGTTTATTCATAAACCGGAAAAAAAGAAATAGAATTTTCTAATACTGAAATATTTTCAGTATTTAAATAAATTTATTTTAATTATTTCAATAAAAAACTTTAAAAAACTTAAATTTTACTATATGTAAAATTCAAAATTACATTTGAATTTTATAAAGGAAAATAATAATTTTTATTTACAAAAGTGTGTTTGTGTCAATTATTACTTTTTCAGTTATATTTTAATTAAATATTTACCTAAAAAATATAAAGAGCTTTTAAGATTGATGGAAAAACGAATAAAAACTTCTTAACAAAATAGAAAAAAATAATTATTATAATATTTGATTTATAAAGATATAAAAATATAAAAGGTGAATATAACTTACGTTCGGTATTAATGTGATATGAACAAATTACAATGTATTAACCTACATGTCGGGATATTTTAAACTATATTTATATTGCAACTCCCCGTAATGATAAATGAATTCGTACGGCATTTAAAATATAAACACAGTAATGATTTCTTTCTATTTAGGAGTAAGAAAAAATAATTATATCGATTATTTTTAATAATTAAAATTTAATTTATAAATAAATAGACTGTAGATAAAATCTTAAAATTAAATGCCGGTGTATAAAATGTTTTAAAGAAATAAGAATTTTATTGATTTTGATGTATTAAAACTACCAGTTTAAAAGCTCGATATGATTTTACGCTTTTCAAAAGTAAGCAACAAAAATTTAATCGATATTTTTGTTGTGAAGAATTTTTGAAGAAAAATTTTTTAAAGTGTTCTCAATACGTGGGGCAGTGACCGACGAGATTGAGAAACTATTCAGCATAATTAAAAGTTATAGTTGCGTAAATATAACCGGGACCGGGTTAGACGTGGGATTTTCGAACCTCAGACCCGACACACCGCATGCACTTTCAATTTTAAAGAAATATTGATAATATATATTTTTTTGTTTTCTGTGATTCTTTGTCCATTATATAACTATGTATTTAATAAAATATATAATTTTTCAATAAAAAAAGTTTTTTTATAGATTTTTTGGGGTCCCATTAAAAACTTTTTCCTCAAGCCCCGCAAAACCTTCAGCCAGTCATATATATATATATATTTTTTTTAATATAATTACCTGTAATTCTGTATTATACGATATAGCTGATGTATTTAGTCTTACTCTATTCTATAATAAAAATAAAAGTGTAAAGTGCAATATATGTTTTAGTGATAGAAATTTAAGATATTATTTACTTTACAAATTTTCTATTCCTTTTTTATAATGTTCTTTGAAAAAACTTATAAAACAAACTTTTCTTCTTTATCTGTAATATGTAGACTTGTATTACTTTTACCAGAAAATTTTGACGCTATTTTTTTCGTTTTATCCTGTTATTGCTAATATGATAATTCTAATTTACTATGTTTTTACTGCTATCACAATTACTTATTTATTTTATTAGTGTATGAAGCATTCATATAATAAAACATATAGCAATGTATATAATTTCTAGCAATTAATTTTTGAGAAAATTCAATAACATTTGATAATTGCAATAATGAAATATAATAATATTGCAGTTATAATAAATATTGTACTTAATTAGTATTCTAAAAAATCCTATGAATTCGAAATGAAAATATAATTATTAGTTCAAATTTCATTAAAACTTTCTTGAAAAATACAAATTGTTAGTTATATTAAAATTGAGTTATTAAATTAATACTTTTGCAAATGGCATGAAAATCGAATATTAAGTCAAATTATTTAAAAAATATTAAAGAAAACTAATTTAGAAACTATCAAATAGAAAAGCTACCGTATGATTTGACAACTTCTGAGACATTCAGACTAGGCTACTATATTCTTGAAGACGAAATTGAGAGAAAACCAGAAAGAGGAAGACCTAGAACAGAATATTTAAATGATGTCAGGGAAAAGAGATCAAACATCTGGCTATGGAAAGGAAAATATTAGGAAAGTATTGATAACATTCTGCTTAGTAACCGGCGTGTTGAGGAGGGGGAGAGTTAGTGAGTTAGTTTTCAAAGGACAAAATTTATTTTTTCAAGTTAATCAAATTAAATTAAATTAATAAGAAACTTTAACATTTATTTACAGTTTTCCAAAAATGCAAGAAATTTGTGCTACGTGTAAAATCTTTTAAACAAATCTGATTTTGACAAATTAGAAAAAAAAAATCTGGAATGAAAAATATCATACTTTATAGATTTGGACACAGTTTTAATTTATACTTTTAATATATTTTTCGGTAAAAGAATATTAAGCATTTAGAGATATTTTTACATTTTCAATATTGAAAGAGGCATTTCATGTTAGAAATATAATCGTATCTCTCCAAATTTGTATAAAATAAGTAATTCAATATCGATGAAGCTTCATATCAAATTAAATTGTTATAGAAGGAAATAAAAATTACACATATTAACATATTTAATTATTATATAGAACTACTAATACATTTAAGTTAATCATAAAATTTCAAGTTCAAACATATAGAAAAGAAATAATTTGAATTAATGCCCGTTGGATTTAAAATCGATATCGAAAATAATCATTATTTAGATATCAATAAAAATATCCTTATGAAAATATAAAATGTTTTAATATTATCTAGAAGCCTTTAGTTTAGATTTCTTTTTGGATTATTCATTCTTTTGAGTAATAATATATAAAAATAAAGATATTGATAAGTCATATCTCTGACATACGAATAAAAATATCGTTAATTCATCTAAACTTTCAATGCAATCTTCCACGTTCTTAATGAATCGAAGTACATTGAACTACAGTAAAACATGCGTGAATTTTCTTTGGAAACACAAAAACGCATATTTAATATTATTTGATAATTTTGAAAGTAATTATGATAGCGAATATTCAGTATAAAATCACAGTAAATCTAAATTTTATTAATGATTCAAGCGTTATATCAAGACCTTTCAACATTATACTGTATTAATCATTGGACTCGAATTTTGCAAACTCGATTATAATCCGAATAGTTTTTATTATTATTGTCTGTATAACTGATCTGTAATAATATGATATGAAAATATTCATTTTCTTACAAATAATTTCCGCTTCATCAGATTTTCCTTTGTGTCAGATTAGATATTTTATGAACAATAGTACAAATAAATAGCCTGGTCATTCGAGATGGCATTTTTAAATGCTGATATTGACATTGAAATGGTCTTAAATTACTCAGTTGGATGATAAATATTTGCTACCTGAAATATAGAAATTTTTAAATTATGAATTTAAAGAACTATATTTTCTAGTTACGATAAATATTCGATGAACTTTAATGTAAATATTGAATTCTACATATTGTTCGTATTGTAATACAAAGGATGACATAATTAAAATTAGGCAAATCTTTTAAAAATAAATCTTAAAATTATAGGTTAGACGATTCTGCAGTGACGGATTCAAGAGGAGGGCCTCGGGGGTCTAAAGCTCTTTCCATTGACAAAAAAAAAAAAAATTATTTTAAAGTGTTCCTTCTATTGGATGTGATGAGAAACATTTTTTCTATAATAACAAATAATGTACAGTATCTGCGTTTTAAAGCACTGTAATAATCAGGACTGTGGTGTCGGAGTCGGAGTCATCAAAAAATCCGCCGACTCCGACTCCCTTTTACTTACCAACTTGTTATATATATGAAACGGAGTTGGAGTCGGATGGTAAGGAAAAGTCGGAGTCGGAGTTGGTAGATTTTTACGTGACTCCACAGCCCTGGTAATAATGCAAGTTTGATTTACTCTGAATTAAAAGAATATTTTTTAAATTTTGATTTAAGTAAAGAAAATTTAAAATTTGGAATGTAAATTGAGCTGGGAATTTAACAGAGACCAGTTGTAAATCGTTCAATAGATAAGTATGGATCAGAAATACGATTTCAAATTTATATTATAAACGAATAAAATTTGATGAGGATTTAAATTTCTAAATTTATCATTAAGCGGATTAAGTCTGTATAATGTATATATAAAAGGTTAAAATATGAAAAAAATATGTGGTAAATATTAATAACTATATATNATTTTAACATAAATAAGGTTTAATGATATTTTACAGTATATATATACTAAATATATATATATATATATATATATTTAGTATATATATACTGTAAAATATCATTAAACCTTATTTATGTTAAAATATGTCTTACTAAATGGTAATGATTTGTTTTCCACTGTTACGCAGGCCTACGTAGAGCATTTTAAAATGAAAAACGTATGTATGAACATGTTTTGAATATTATGTGTTATAGTTTATAAATAACAATTTTATGTTACTTATAAATTATAACATAATTGTAACGGTAAAATTACTTTATTTTTTCCTATTTTG